TCTGTCTCAGTTACCCTAGCTTTGAGAGAATTTAGATTAGATAGGAACTCATTGAGAGCATTGTGAACCTCAGCCCTGGTAGCTTTCAGCTCTGCCCTAACATTGTGTACTTCATCCCTGGTCGTTTTCAGTTCTGCCCTAATCAATTCCATTTGGTCATCCATGGCTTTCTCCAACCTAGCTATTGCCTGGATAATTGTTAGCCTGAATTCTATTTCCAACTTATTGTCTATGTTGATAGCCGTTAGCTCTGTTGCAGAAGGCCCATCCTCTGTATTTTTCTTCTGTTGGGCATTCCTCCTCCTAGTCATTTTGGTGAGAGAGGACTGAATGGATGTAGCTGGATGTATCGACCATGGTGCAGTCAAGGTGCACCCTTGAACGCTTCTGAGCAATCAGGGTTCCCCACCCAAATGAGAGAAAAAGAAAAGAAAAAGAAAAAAAGAGAGAGAGAGAGAGAGGAAAAAAAAAGGAAGATAAAATAGAAGTTTCAACCCAAATGGCACCCAAGGTACGTTTGATGAATTATACAAACAAAAACAGACAAACAAAAAGACTGATAAAAGTATATGACAAGAGAAAAAAATATATATATATAAGCAAATAAAGGAAGAACCTAGTCAAAAAGAACCCCAAGTATAAGATTTATATACTATCAGGACAAACACAAAAACACAGAAACACTGGTGGAAGAAAAAGATGGGAGAGTGGTTATAAATTCTCAGTGTGGGCGAGGAAGGTTGTTTTGATTCTTGCTGGATGTATCTTGATATCTTTGTTAAAGGACTCAACTTTCCTAAGACAAAAGGGGATTAAAAATTGGTTTACCTATAGGGGTAGTATTAATTGGGGAAAGGGGATTACTTTGAAGTTTAACTCTATATGAATATTAGAAAATAAAAATAAAAAAGGAATAAACTAGACGAAGGTAAACTAAAATTTAGAAAAAAAATTAAAAAAATAGAAATCCAAAAGAAAAACACAGGTGTATGTATCAAAAAGTTCAAGTTAGAAGGTTATTATGGAATTTGATGTACTGGACATCTCACTGTGATGGTAAATAGGTTAAAAAATTATCTATATAAAAAAAATGGACCATAATTGTGGGAACGAGTTAGAAATAAAAGTTGTCGTAGGAAGTAGTGGTGGTTGTTCTCTTGTAGTCTTTTTTTTTTTTCTTTCTTTCTTGGTTGGTTTTCTGGGTGAGGGGCCTGCCAAGTGGGTTTTCAGTCAATGATGTTCCCTGAGAAATGTCCTCCCGCCCCCCTCAAGGGGGTGGGCTCTGAGGAAACCAGTTTTTTTCAGGCTTTTGTTCTCTGGAGGTTTTTATGTTTGTTCACTTTTGTTTTTTTCTCTCGCCTTGACCGCTTTTGATGGTTTTTGTAGGTTTAGAGGAAAGCAAACTGCACCTTGGCCTCCCTCTAAGAGAGAAGCCTCAGTCTGGTCCCCTGTGGGTGTTGCAGAGTCCATATAAATTCCCCCTTGGCCGCTGGCAGAGCAGGTTCTGAGTCGCGGTCACGGGGGACACAGGATCTTCTGCTTGTTCCCAAAATGATGGCAGCAGCAGCTGTCTGGGCAGCTCCAGAGAGGTTCCAAGCAGCGATCACACACTGAGATTTTCCCGCTGGCCCTGGCTGGGCTTGCCTGGTCTTTCTGGGTCTAAGAGCGCCGGGCTTGCAAGCACCTCTCTCAGGGAAGGCTGTGGGTCACTCATGCATCTCAGGCTCTGAGAGCAGGGCGCGGGTCCGAGAGCACAAGGTTGGGCCTTCGTGCACCTCTCTCAGGGTACGGTATGGGGCGCTCGCATCTCAGGCTCTGAAACAATGGCGTGGGTTTAAGAGCAGCCGGCTGGGCCTTCGGGGCCTTCATGCACCTCTCTCAGTGGAGTTTGAGGGGCACGCACTTCTCAGGCTCTGTTAGCATGGCTGGGCGTTCTGCCATCTGGTGAGGCTCCCAGCCCCTCACAGGAGCCGGACCCCACACGTCTCGGGCAGGCTGGCAGCTCAAAAACAGAGACCTTGTTTCTCCGCCGCACTCTCTCTGGCTCCACGCCAGGGGAGGCTGTCCTGAGTCCAGGGACTTAAGCCCCTGTCCCTTGCCATCCTGAATCCCACAACCCCCCCCACCCCGCGATCCTTTGCTCTTTCTGAGTGCTTTCAACCAGTTTCCAAGTTAATGCTGGTCCCAGATGCAGGGTACTCTCGTATTAGGGATATTACTTTCCAAACGGTCGCCTCTGGTGGCTCCCTCCCCCTTTTGTTTATCTTCCAATATCAGTCCGATGTTCCCACTCTGCTTTACCTGCCCACTGGTGTCTTCTGCCCCTGTAGAGATCCAGACATATATAATTCTGATCTCAGGCTGATTTCATGGGTGATCGGAGTTCTTTGGTAGGTAATCAGCTCACTTTAGGGTACACGTTGAAAGGGCGCCTCCTCCTACTTCCCCACCATCTTGTCTCCCCCAAAGATCTAATAGTCCCTATTTCTACCATTTTATATTTTGGAATTAGATCTGTTTCTTTGGTTTTTTTTTTATAACAATCATCTTCTGTCATTATGTGAAACACACTCTTTTGTATTCAACTGAAGTTCTCCTGCATCTTTATCATAAGCATGATTGAGTCCATTCATGGTCACATATGATCAAACTACAATTTTAGCTACTATCTCTTGAGACGTATATTAAAAAGAATGTTTTCCTATTCTTTTACCTCCAAGCTTTTACTTCATTTCATCCTGAACAAGAGTCCTATGTTGATGTGATTGTCGCTATTGAATATCTTGTTTGTAAGATGTTAGCATTAGATTATTGTTCATTTTGTTGAAGACGATTATTTGAATCCACCATATTTAACTTGATTTATTTTTCCTAGCATTCTATTTAATGAATTCTCATTTATTTTAAACTTGTTTCTATACAAATGTGCACTTTTGTGAACACAAAGAGTCAAACAAAGCAAGGGACGCCCTGCTCCTTTGGATCATAGGTTATAATGGAGAACAGGGAACTAAGTGCTAGTATAATACAAGGTCTTCAAGGATAAATCATATATAGAAAGGGGATAGATTGTCACAGGACATGCCAGATTTTACAGAGTATGGTCTGATAAGGTTTCTTCATAACAGACAAGGAACAGAAAACGAGGACAAGTGAGGACCTACTGGATTTTGTGTCAAACAAAAATCAAAACCCAAAGTCCATCATAACAAAGGAAGGAATGCCATCAAGGAAAGTAAGAGGAGCCAAAATCATCCACAATTAGATCAGGAACACGGGGTGGACCCCATGAGGAATACAATGGAGCAGTCAACATGGGATCCCTGGAGTATGATGTAACCTTAGCACTCACGCTGACAACCTTTTCTCTCTGCAAACTGTTCTTCTGATAGACTCTTCATTGATACTCTTTTCCCACATTAGCCACCACTGGACTTCTACTAAAACCATTTTTTTTTTCTTTTACTGAAGTGGATTCCTTTTTTTTTAACTGTCCACAGTAAGCATGCCTTTAACATTAAGATGAAGTATGTATGCACATGCAAACACACAAATCCACATGTACGTACACACTGTACATAAACACAACTGAACAGAGAATAACCATTCATACACTAAGAGGAAGGAACTCTGCTCAACTTTTTACATACATGGACTCAATCTATTGACCATCTTAGGAGGATCGATACCACTACAGCCACTATTCTGGTGAGAATATTACAATTTTAGAATGAGTTGGTTGTCTTCCCAAATTCAAATGACTACTGTGTGGTAGATCCAGGATTCAAAACTCATTCACTAATCACAAAATTTTGAATTCAACATCATTTGGGAAAGTATTTTACCATTTAATCTTGATTAATACCTTCTATTTTTGTACCTTGTGTATTTCCTTTAGTCAATGTATTTTTCCTTTTATTCATATATCTAGTGGGTGTTCATACATTAAGGTGTCTTGACACCATAAATATATCACTCTTTTCTCTTTTGGGCTAATGGTTTTTGCTGCATTATTAGTTATTCTGGGCATCAAGGGGTTGGAAGGCAGCCAGAACCAGGGAAGATTTCATGTCTTCATGATCTCTCAGGGACCATTTGGGTTTATTAGACCTTTCTCCCCCTTCGTTTTCCTCTTCCTTTAAAATTTTTATACTTCTCTAAATACAGGACAAACTGGTCATATTTAAATGAAGCACCAAGTTACATGTTCATGGGAGTCTTACCAACTGGAATTTGGGGACTTTTCTATATTTCTTAGGGTAATGATAATTTGATGTTGAGATCTTAACTAATATCATTTCTTTCCTAAATATGTAGCTAGAGGTGAGAAGAGCCTGGTAGTTACATGGCCCCAAGAGTCTGTAGTGTCCCAATATGGGACCCTTGAAATATAACCTCCGGGGTGTTAACCAACACTTGAAAATAAAGAATGGATCCATCTTTATTGACAGTTTTCCTAGGAGAAAAATTAATGAAGTGCAAGGAACATCACATGAATGAAGGACTCCCTTCCTTCTTGAAGTCTCAGGTGCCACCTTGTTCAACATTCCCTGACATCATCTCTCATCACTCTCCCTCTTGCTGGTCTCCTGACAACACTAGCTCCATTTTTAGACCTGGATAACCTGGATAACTCCTGACCAACACTAGCTCCATTTCGTCTGAAACAAGCTCCAACTAATCTGAAACAAGTTCTTTCCTCAGGCTTTGCACTGGCTCCTTTTCCTGCAGGGCACACATACCCCAGATAAACTTGTGTCTTCTCTGCAGATTTCCCTGAGGTCTGTCTTCAAATGTCACCTTGTGTTGAGGTCTTCCTGAAGTCCCAGTAAAGGGCACACTTCATCCAATTCTTTAATGCCTACATTTTTCCCTATGTAAATATACTTTCCCATGTAAATATAGCACTTCTGCCATGTTACTAATGTCTGTTTGTGTTAAAATTAATCATTTTTTTCCTAATTTCAAGTCATTACAACCATGACACAGGACATGGCAATGATACCCAATTTTCAGGATTTCTTCTTCTGGGATTATCAAAAAAACCAGAACTGCAGCTCCCCATATTTGGGCTTTTCCTCTCCATGTACCTGATCACTGTGTTTGGAAACCTGCTCACCGTCCTGGCTGTCAGCTCTGACTCTCAACTTCACACCCCCATGTACTTCTTCCTTGCCAACCTATCCTTTGTAGACATCTGTTTCACAACCACCACCACTCCAAAGATGTTGGTGAATATACAGACACAGAGCAAAGTTATAACCTATATAGGATGCATCAGCCAGATCTGCTTTTCCTTACTCTTTGCAGGCTGGAATGACTTACTCCTGGCTGTGATGGCCTATGACCGTTTTGTGGCCATCTGCCACCCCCTGCAGTACAGGGTCATCATGAACCTCTGGCCCTGTGGAGTCCTGGCTCTGGTGTCCTGCATCATTAGTGTTCTGAATTCCTTATTACAGAGCTTGATGTTGTTGCATCTTTCCTTCTGTTCAGAGGTGGAAATCCCCCACTTCTTCTGTAAACTCCATCAGATGATCCAACTTGCTTGTTCCGATACCTTTCTGAATGACACGGTGATATATGTTTCACCTGTACTGCTGGCTGGTGCTCCCCTTGCTGGGATCCTTTGTTCATACTCTAAGATTATTTCATCCATACGAAGAATCTCATCAACTGAGGGTAAATACAAAGCATTTTCCACCTGTGCATCTCACCTCTCAGTTGTCTCCTTATTTTATTGTACGGTCCTGGGAGTGTACCTTAGCTCTGTGGCTACCCAGAGCTCCCACGCAAGTGCAGTAGCCTCGGTGATGTACATGGTGGTCTCACCCATGCTGAACCCCTTCATCTACACCCTGAGGAAAAGAGACATAAAAGAGGCTCTAGTAAGATTCTTCAAGAGGGCACCTATAAAAGGGACAATTGTCCTGGTGGTGAAGAAGTGCCTTGATTGCAGGACTCAAAGCCATGATTTTTTATCATTGTGACATAGAATCTGCTCCTTTTTCCAGAAACTTCTATTTCTTACAATTCAACTTCTCTATACAATTTCAGAATACTCCATTTAGTAAGCTTTCTGCTCTGCCTGAAAAACAATTTTCCACTACGTACATTTTTATATGTTCCCACAGTTCTTCCCAAGCTTGGATTAGAAATATTTGAAAACTGTTTCTTTTACAATACCACTTTGATATCTGAAAAATTATTTCTTTTCAAATGGCATATATCATGCCAAGTAAAATTTCCCTAGACTTACTGAAGGAATAATCATGAGTTGTATTACTTATATGGATAAAACTAACACTTGGTATCTAAGGCCATTTATATAATTTCACCATAGAGGAAAATACAAAATCAGTTTTCACATTGGGTCTGTTATCATTCCTTTTTACTCCTTAACTGCTCTTCTGAATGATGTAGACCTTTTTTTCCATTTTATTTTATTTTATTTTATTTCTCTTCAGTATACCAGCATTCATTGTTTATGCGCCACACCCAATGCTCCATGCAATACCTGCCCTCTATAGTACCCACCACCAGGCTCACCCAACCCCTACTCCATCCCCTCCAAAACCTTCAGTTTATTTCTCACAGTCCACAGTCTCTCATGGTTCATTTCCTCCTCCAATTTTCCCCAAATGACTTCTCCTCTCCATCTCCCCATGTCCTCAGTGTTGTTCCTTATGCTCCACAAGTAAGTGAAACCATATGATACTTGACTCTCTCTGCTTGACTTATCATCATCTCCTTTAAGGTTCAGCCAATGGATAGTGATGCCTGCAACACTCACCTGTGGCCACCATACTTGTGAGGCAACCTGAGCCAATGTTATGGATGAACTGTTCCTTGTTATTATTATTGTTGTTGTTTAATGTTGTTAACATATAATTGACATCATGTTACATTAATTACATGTGTACAATGCAATGATTCAATATTTGTGTACATTGCAAAGTGATCAGAATAAGTTCAGTTAACATCCATTACAATATACAGTTACAAACTTTCCTTCAGAATGACAATCATCAAGATCACCTCTCCTAGCTTCTTTCAAATGTACAATACAGTTTTTTTAGCTAAAGCCACCATTCTAGACATAATATGCCCATGACTTACTCATTTTATAATAGGAAATTTTTACTTTTTGACATTATCATGCATTTCACCCAATCCCCACCTCCTAGCTCAGGCTACTACCAATCTGTTCTGCATATCCACAAGCTTGGCTTGGTTTTGTCTTGTTTTTAAGATTCCACATGCAGGTGAGATCATAGTATTTATCTTCTTCTGCCTGACTTATTTCATTGAGCATAATGCCCTCAGGATCCATCCATGCTGTCACAAATGCCAAGATTCCACTCATTTGCATGACTAAACAATATCCCATATATGTGTGTGTGTGTGTGTGTGTGTGTGTGTGTGTGTGTGTGTGTATTTTATATTTGCTTTTCTCTGGTGAATACTGATGTTGAGTATCTTTTCATGGACCTGTTGGCCAACTATATGTCTTCATTGGAAAAATGTCTATTCAGATCCTCTTTCCATTGTTTAATAAGACTGTTTGTTACTACTGTTGAGTTGTAAGAGTTCTTTATATATTGGGGATATTTAACCCTTAGATACATTATTTGTAATATTCCCTGCCAACAGAAGGTTACTTTTTCATTTTGTTGATGTTTTCCTTTCCTGTGCAAAAGTACTTACTTTGAGGTAGACCTTGTTTAGTTTGTTTTTGTTCCCTTGCTTTGGTGTCAAATCTTAAAAATCATTGCTAAGGCCAAGATGTTTTCTTCTAGGATTTTTTTGGCTTCAGATCTTACATTTAAGTCTCTAATCCATTTTGAGTTAATTTTGCCTGTGGTGTAAAATAGTGGTCCAGTTACATTTTTTGCAAGTAGCTGTCCAGTTTACCCAAAACCATTTATTTAATAGACTGTTCCTTCTTTTTTTATATTCTTGTGTCCTTTGCTGTAAAATACTTAACCACTAATCTGTGGGTTTATTTCTGTACTTTCTTTTCCATTCCATTGACCTGTGGGTTTTTTCATGCCAATAGCATGCTGTTTTCGTTACCATAGCTTTGCAATACAGTTTGAATTCAGGGAGGATGATCGTCCAATTTTGCTCTTTTTCTCAAGACTGCTTTGGCTATTGGGGTATTTGTGATTCCATAAAAATTTAAGGAGTGTTTGTTCTATTTCTGTAAAATATGCAACCAAAATTTTGACAGGAATTACCCTGAATCCACAGATTGCTTTGGCTAGTATGGATGTTTTAACATTATTAATTCTTCCAATCAATGATCATGGAATATCTTTCCATTTCCCTGTGTCTTCAATTTCATTCTGCCATGTCTTATAGCTTTCAGTGTACAGATGTTTCACCTCCTTGTTAAATTCATTCTTCGGTATTTTATTCTTGTTGATGCAGGCATAAATGGGATTTTTTCTTAATTTCTCTTTCTGAGAGTTTCTTATTAGTGTATAGAGTTGCAACCAATTTTTCTATATTTGTATATCCTGCTGAATTCATTGATTACTTATAACAATATTTTTCTTTTAAACAATTCATTGAATTACAATGACATAGAAGAAACTAAGCAGATTTAAAATGTAAAATTTTCTGAATTCAAGTAATCATACAAAAATTAAGAATACATACCATCATGACTCCATTTATATATAATTCAAGAAAATGCACAAAAGCTTTAAAGATTTATTATATATTGTAAAAAAATGTAATCAACCTAAAAACTCTGTTTCTTTATATCTAATTCAGGTGGGGGTTGCTGGGAATAAATACAGTGTTTGAAAGTATTTGGTGAGTCAAACAAGTCTTTCATGGGTAAGAAGCATAGGCACATATATGTATATGTGCATTTGTACATTACATCCTACAAATACACTCCTACACATGTATGTACAAAACAGACACAATAATCACATCTCTTATATTGAAAGGAAATCTGAAGGAAATTTGGAAAGGTTAGAAATCAAAAGACAATGTTTGAATTAGCATGAAATTAAAAGAATATATATTTAGACACAAAGCCTTAAGGTAGAATGGGAAAACATTAATTTTAGTAATGAATTCCTGTTTTTAATCTCAATGCAAAAAATGGACCACAATCAGAATTTATAGTTTCTTAAAGACTTTATTTATTTATTTGACAGAGGAAAAGATCCCAAGTAGACATAGAGGCAAGCAGAGGGAAAGCCACAACATCATTAAACTTGGTAAGAAGGAATTCAGGATACATGTGACCTAGGACAGAAGAAGCAGTAGTCCACAGAGCTGGGGATTCATGACTGTGTAATGCAGGGGATGGGAGATGGCCACAAACCAGTCATAGGCCATCATGGTCAGAAGAAAGTCATCCAGTACAGCAAGGAGTGTGGAAAAGTACATCTGTGTGAGGCAGCCTGCATAGGTTATGAATTTTCTCTGAGTCTGGATGTTCCACAGCATCTTGGGGATGGTGATGTAGGTGGAACATATGTCTGCAAAGGACAGGATGGAGAGGAAGCAGTAAATGGGGGTGTGGAGGGATGGGATTCAGAACTAACAACCAGAATGATGAGCAGATTCCTAAACATAGTGATCATGTACATGGAGAGCAAAAGCCCAAATATGAGGGTTTGCAGTTCCGTTTGCTCTGATAATCCCAGAAGATGAAATTTGTGTAACATGTCCTGTTTCTATGTGGTGGAGGTGTCTACCAGGGAATAAAAAATACCATGACTAATTTTTTCAATAAGGAACATTACAAACATCATTGAAATCCTAAAATTTTCATTTTACATTCAGAAAGTGAATATCCATAGATTTTATATGGAAATTGTCCCCTCTCAGGACCCCACATTCCAGCTCTGAATAGGAATGCACATTTCACACTTGGCCTTTTCCCAAGTACTCATGTATTCTATACTTTCAATGAGAAATTCTGTCACACATATGGGGAATAAACTTTCATACTGACTAACCTCCAGGGAAAGAGTATAGGTGTCAAAAAAAAAAAAGTCTGCATAGTGCAGTGATGGAGAAGATAAGCAAATAAAAGATTAGATAGAATTTCAGAAGGTGACAGGTGGTATGAAGAAAAATCTAGTAAAAAGAAAAAAAGTATATGGAGGTGCTGGTTTTTTTACTGGTTGCTTGGATATGCCAGCACACATTTCTACAGAGGCCTCAAGAGGAGATAGCAGGAGACATAGGGTTATCCAGGGAAGTGTGTACCCATCAGAGGGAATAATCTGCTCAGAGACTCTGAAAAGATAGGAATCCACAATGGTGGGGGAGTGAGAGACCTAAGTTTTGTCTGGTCCCAGGAATTCAGCTAGATATCTATCAAATCATTCTGAACACCTGCAAACTGAACCAGATTTCTAATAGCTACAGCTCTACAAATAGAAAAGTGACCACTTTCTGCAAGGTAGGAGGTATGGAGAACTGAATCCAAGGCAATACAGGGGAAGATAAACTGCAGGGGGAGGGAACCTCAAAAAGCCCACTATCAGAAAGTCATATAGGGGAGGAGTAAAAATGGTGGAGAAGTAGCAGGCTGAGATGACACTAGGTAGCAGGAGATCAGCTAGATAGCTTAGCAAACCATTCTGGACACCTACAAATCCAACAGGAGATTGAAGAAAAGAGTAGCAATCTAGAAACAGAAAAACGACCACTTTCTGAAAGGTAAGAACAGTAGAGAAGTGAATCCAAAGCTATGAGAATGCAGACCACGGGGGGAGGGGCCAGCTCCCAGCAAGCAAAATAGCAATGGAGCACAAAATCAGAACTTTTAGAAGTCTCCTCCACTGAAGGACATCACTCCAGAGGCTAAACCAGGCCCATGCAAGGATAGTGTGGTCTCAGGTGCAGCAGGGTCACAGAAGGATCGGGGGTGTCTGAGTGTCACAGAGCTCACAGGTATTACAACAGGGAAGCCAGCCACAGAGACAGAGCTGAGGAGTGAGCTTTCAACTCAGGG